ACAGGTTTCAGTAAAGATCAAAGCATAAAGAAAAAGCTTTCCTTAAATAAATACCAGTGTGGGTGTGGACTAGCGTTAAAAACCTCATTAAATAATCTTATCCTGATTATATTTTTGAACCACTCTGCTCTGCAGGGGGGTTCTGGGTCCGTCCGGCGGCTCCGTCCGGGTCAACAAGCTTCATGGACGACAGAACTATATGAGCTCCTTCGCTCACGGCATCCAATCACAGGTCCTGTCCCGCTGGACCGCCTCCTTCAGCCTCACCAGTAGGTGGAGCCGTTTCCGAATTATTATTTTTTGTTGATAGATGTTTTGATTGTCTATTGCAGTTAAATTAGTTGTTTTTTGGATTATTGGTTCAAATTAACAAGGTATTGGAAGACCTGGCAAATCCAGAATCCACTTTATTTTGTGCCATTGCTCTCAATGTACACACTTATAAATAGACATAACGTTTATTACATACTATATGTTTGTGTGGGTTAACAGCTCGATGTGGAGTTTCACTGCCTCCTAGAGGGGGAAAAAGGCATTAAATGCAACTTCTTTAAATCTTTATACTGTATCTGGATGATACTTAACTTTATTTTTTTTCTTGTCAAGCCTTTGTAACACAGGGGATAAACAAATATATAGTATTATACTTTTAATTATCAGAACTATCTTTATATATAGGAAAACTGGGAAATGTGTTCATTGAAATGAAGCAATTATACTATCATTTTAGTAAATGTACACAACTAATTCTCTCTCTCTGTGTGTGTGTGTGTGTGTGTGTGTGTGTGTGTGTGTGTGTGTGTGTGTGTGTGTGTGTGTGTGTGTGTGTGTGTGTGTGTGTGTGTGTGTGTATCCAGAGGCTGTTAGTGTCCCACTGGAGTTGACCAGTGAAACCATTGCCACCGCTCTGCCTGTAGCTGCAAAGCCAGGTAATAAATACACATTATTATATACTACTGATAGTATCCAGTGTAGTACTGTAAATACTCACAGCTGAGGGGCATTGGTAGGCATGACTTAAAGCTGTGTGTGTGTGTGTGTGTGTGTGTGTGTGTGTGTGTGTGTGTGTATGTGTGTGTGTGTGTGTGTGTGTGTGTGTGTGTGTGTGTGTGTGTGTGTGTGTGTGTGTTGCAGCAAAGAAACTGAAGAAGCCATCAGTGAAGAAAGCTCTGAAAGGTGGAAATAAAGGTACCCTGTGTTTGTTTTTGTAGAGTTTTTGTTGCACGACGTTTGATCGAAAATGAATTAAGATTGTTCAACTACTTTTACCTCAATGTCTGTGTGTGTGTGTGTGTGTGTGTGTGTGTGTGTGTGTGTGTGTGTGTGTGTGTGTGTGTGTGTGCAGACTGTCCGATGGATATCGCCATGGTGATCGACAGCAGTAAAAACATCGGGCAGCGGAGGTTCAACCTGCAGAAAAACTTAATCAGCAAACTGGCGGCCATGTTGAGAGTCGGACCAACAGGACCGCACGTAGGACTGATCCAGGCCAGGTCAGACACACAGATACTATAAATACATTCGGTATGAAATAAGAGCAACATTTCCCGCAAAATGGAACAAGTAAGAAAATCAACCAAATAGTTCAAGAAACCCTTTTTTCAAAAATATATCTAGTATGAGGTTTTCACTAAATTAAAACTAAATTAAACCTAAAATAAAAAATACTGAGACATAAGAGTTTTTCCTACGGCAGATACAATTTAAATGAGATGAACCTTAAATGAGCTTTATTTAAGAAATCAATTACAATTTACAAAGGCAGAGAGAGTACATTTGCAATCCTTTACAAAGTACTTTACTTTGGAACAAGGTACTACTTTAGTACTCTACTATATACATTTTTATTCCATGTTTGGCTACTTTATAAATACTCAATAACTCAATTATCAACCTGATTAAAGATATGTAGTTTGATAGATATATCTTTAATAATACTAAGCGTTGCTGTTGGTTAAGTGTACGTGTCTTTTTCCTGGATTTTGTGTGCAGTGATTCTCCGAGGACCGAGTTCTTATTGACCAACTACACTCAGCCTAAAGAGCTGCTGTTTGCCATCAAAGAGCTGGCTTACCTGGGAGGAGACACCAACACAGGTAGAAATACAAAGAGATCAGAGAGATGTACCGGTATGTCAAACAAATTAAAAATAAATAGCCCTTACTCATGATAAAACAACAATTATTTAACATAACTTTCATTAACTACAGCGCTTCTGTAGCACCTCTGTCACTGAAATGCAGTTACAATTAAATGATGTTGGGCCGCCATATATCTCACCTGGTAGAGCTATAGACCATGTATAGGGACGCTGGGAAATCCAGCCTGGAACCATGTACACATGTCATCGACTCTGTCTCCCCCGTTCAACACTGTCATCTCCAATAAAGGCTAATCTCGCCCAAATCATCTTTAAAAAATAAATAAAATAAAAATTAGATGATGTCTCTTTACCTGGTTCCTTGTCTTGTTGTTGTCCTCCTGCAGGTAAGGCCATCATGCACACAGCGGAGACGTTCTTCAGCCAGGAGAACGGGGCGCGGCGGGGTCACCCTCGGGTCATGATGGTGCTGGTGGACGGCTGGCCTTCAGATGACCTGGAGCAGGCGGCTATGTTGGCCAGAGAGTCCGGGATCAACGTCTTCCTGGTGTCCGTGGCCAGACCCGCGGCCGAGGAGCTCGCCATGGTGCGGGACAAGGACTTCATGAAGAAGGTGGGCACGACCTTTGAGTGAATGAATGAATCTACAAATCAACAGACAAAAAAAAAACAATCTTCTGTGAAATCGATGTTTTTTTTATTATTCTTTATTTTCAGTCAAAGTAATTATGTTACACAATCATTATCAGTTAGATCTATACAGTGATCCATCATTTTAGTTATTTTTTCGTATAATTACACACAACCAAAGCACTAAAAAAGTGAAAAAACAACAGACAAAAAAGAAAACAAGAACCTGTTTTGAGAGAAAGAAAATCCAGTAGAAACAGAACATAACAAATGCATATTAAAATAAAAGTAAGCATTTCAATGGAAAATATATTGCTTCTACTTTTATCAAACTTCCTGTAAATGTATTCTCCCAAAGCATCATGGGAAAAGAGATTATTTTCAGTAGTTTTGTTAAAGCACCACGTCTGTTAAGTCCAGCTTGTTATTGGCATTATTGTGCAAGGCAAAGCAAGTTTATTTATAAAGCACCTTTCAACAAAAGGCAATTCATAGTGCTTTACAACATTGAAAGACATTAAGAGCATTAAGAAATAGTGCAGCGGAAACACGTTGCACTTGACATTTTAATGCTTAACGTCCAGTTCATTTGACCAAAGACTAGTGACATTTTCGTTCTTATTGAACTGTTAGTCAGAGTTATTTTTTTCTCTGGTTAAACCATGACACAGCATATTGTTTTCCATGTACAAAGTAAAGACGACTTTTTACATCATGAGTAAAGTTGTCCTCTCAGTCATCTTACTGTAGCCAATCATGCTTTTGTGACGGAAGATAACAAACTTTCGATGGTACTGGTGTCAATATACCAGTGGCGAGCCGTCAGGGCCCTCTAGGCCCTCTGTGAGGGCCTAAGATATTCTAAGAAATAATATTTGAAAACATTAAAAAAAAAACATTTTTTTTTAAATATTTTTTTTATATGTTTTTGTTGTTACATTTTTCATTAGTTTTACCAAAATAACTTGATTTAATTGTATTTAAAATAATATTTCCAAAGAAATAAATTTGAATCTGCCTGTTCAGTTTCTGTTGGAATGTGAAGGGTTAAATGCCATCTCTGCGAGTTATGTGAAGACGGGAGAGCTTGTTGGTCCCTCTCTATGGAGTCAGATTTGGGTCAATATTCTCGCGCGTAAAACAAGCTACTCACGAGCGGAAAATGTGCTTTTACACGCGCATAAAATGACCCTCGCGCGCAGATTAAACCCCCGCGAGCGGCTCTGCGCTCGCTCGCGAGAGGCTCTGCGTTCGCTCGCGAGAGAGACAGCCCTCTTGCTTGCTCGCGGGAGTGTCAGCCTCGCGGAGTCTGTCTACGCGCGCTTGAAAAGTTATATATATATTATATATATATATATATGATTCTGTTTTCTTCAAGGTTGTGTCTTCCTGGTCGAATGACGTAAGTCGCTTTGGATACAAGCGTCAGCTAAATGCAATGTAATGTAATGTAATATACATTAATTTGATATAAAACAATATATTTTTCAGTGGGCTGTGTCCGTCGAAAACTGCTAGCTACTGTCTGCTGTACGCACCTAGATTTTGCTGCCGTCACTGCTCGGCTCTTGGTAGTCTAGGCATTTATCAAACCTGGCAACCCCGGGTTTCCTGGCAGCTGTCAATCAAAGTCCAGTGGCTCCGCCCCAAAGTGCCAGAAACTTTTCACGCGCGCGTAGACAGACTCCGCGAGGCTGACACTCCCGCGAGCAAGCAAGAGGGCTCCCGCGGGCGCAGAGCCGCTCGCGGGGGTTTAATCTGCGCGCGAGGGTCATTTTATGCGCGTGTAAAAGCACATTTTCCGCTCGTGAGTAGCTTGTTTTACGCGCGAGAATATTGACCCAAATCTGACTCTATACCTCTCTACATTCACAGAGGGCCCGCTATAGTAACTCAATGAGAGAGTAATGTCAAATGACAGTACAATTGACCAATCATATCTTCCCTCTAAATGGGCGGGCTTTATTTTCGCGGACTTTATGATAAGTTCCGCCCGCTGTGAAGTCTATGCAAGTGGTGCAGTGACGCGTCCTAGAACCCGGAAGTAAGCTTCGCTCGGATTCCCTCGACAGAAAGCAGTGGCATTTCTCCATAGGGTTTTGGAAGATAGCTTGAAATAAGGTCTGTGGAAAACGAACCTGTTAGATAAATGCACGTTTTGTTCAGACGGATAATATCCACATGTCTACCCTACTTTTATTATTTTCGAATCATAAATCTAATCGATAGATTTATAATTAGCATAAGTTCGTTGATGATGGCTCACTTCAGTGATAGTGATGACATCGTTGCAAAATTATTAACCGAGTCATTTTCAAGATTGAGTTACAATGATAAACTGGAGTGGCAAAGGATCAGCTGAATGACCCGCAAGTGCTTCATCCAAAAGGACAAGAGGATGGACTTTGTGTTTCAGTGATTTATCATCAAAGGTAGGCCTAAGTCATTTTCAATGCGGGCCGCCGTGCCGACTTAATTCATTTGTAATTGTTACTTGGCTGTGGGTGCCCTGTCATGATAGGTGTTTATATAAATGGTGTTGTTTTGTGTGGTAGAGGGTCGCTGTCATTGATGCGTTTTGCACCCCGGGCCGCTGTTTTGATATTCCGCTGAAGTATACGGTGTGACGTAATAACCCTTCTTTTTTTTCCGAGGGAGGGGGGTCAGAGGGCCTAGGTATAAAAGTCACGGCTTGCCACTGCAATATACAGTATATAAAATGTTTCGGTAACAGCAGTCTGTCTCTTCGTCCTGCAGGCGGTGTGCAAAGACAACGGTTTCTTCAGTTATTTGATCACCAGCTGGTTCAGCACCACCAAACACGTGAAACCTCTCGCTCAGAAGCTCTGCTCGCTGGACAGCCTGCTCTGCAGTAAGACACCACAACACATCACCAGGGAACTCATATTAACATTTATTCCCAACCACTTGAATCCAAAACAAGGGACATTTGGAGATCGCAGAAATCTTATAATTTCTGTGGAGTGATCTGTAAATTTCTGTTGCAAAATCATCACATTTGTTTGGAGAAGTCATTAGAAATAACTATGGAGAAATCATTATCTTTGTGAAATTAATATCCTGCAGATACGCAGATTTCTTGTTGGTAAAAACTTGATTGATAGGCCAAGATGGGTAAAATATATGTGTGTTTTTTAAGGTAAAACCTGCTACAACTCAGTGAACATCGGGTTCCTTATCGACGGTTCTTCCAGCGTCGGGCATTCAAACTTCCAGCTCGTCCTGGACTTCCTGGAAGGAATCGCCAGAAGCTTTGAAATCTCAGACGTGGGAGCTCGCGTTGGTCAGCTTCACAGAATCAAAATAATGTAACTAATTGATTAATTGATGATCTGATTGGCTGATGGATGGACTTATGTTTTGGGTGTCCAGGTGCGGTGCAGTTCACCTACGATCAGCGGCTGGAGTTCGGCCTGTTTGATCACTCTGATAAAAATGAGACCATGAATGCCCTGCAGAGGATCCCCTACATGAGCGGAGGAACAGCCACTGGAGCCGCCATCAGCTACACCACCCAGAACCTGTTCAGGTAACAACACACCTGAGTATTGCACTGTACTCCCATTACAAAAACATCCAACCAGCTATTAGGTTTTTCTTAACACAAGCTGAAATAAATCCATCCCGCTAGTGCAGTGTTTCTCAAAGTGTGGTCCGTGAGTGACCCCTAGTGGTCCTTGAGTAAATGGTAAATTGGTACAATTTCACATTTGAAATACATTTATTTTAAATCCAAAGTGTTTCTCAAATTGTTTAAAAATGACTAGTATAGGTGGCAACAGAGACTGAGTGCGTAAACAATGCTAAATAAATGGAACAGTGTAAATAATTAACTTGTGTTTAATGTTGAATTCATGCTAAACTTGGGCCTGCAACCATAGTTTTACTGTATTTTATTTAGAAAATCCACAGCGGAGGTTTGTTTTGTACTAAATGCGGTGCATTCTGCATTTCTCTCAGTAGCCAACAATCTGTGAGTCTGTTAGCTCATTCATATGAGGTGTAAAACCTATAGCAATAGGTTAAGCTGTCATTATTATGCTGTGATTTGTTATATACTGTTGGAGTGGTAAGCAGGTCTATTGTTTTTAGATATTTGGGGAGTTAGGTGGTCCTTGTGTGTTTTTTGATTGGTTAAGTGGTCGTTGGTATGAAAAAGTTTGAGAAACACTGCACGAGTGCTATGCTGCTGTAGTAGAAACACTAGTGTGCGAAATATGACCTAATAACAGTGTTTTGTTAAGGATTTTTAACATTGCTTCTCATTGCAGAATTAATTATATCTAGAGGAGGAAACTGCCTGAATAATAAGTTTAACTACATTTGTTGTTTCAGGCGGATGGGACCAGGCCGTAACTTCCTCATCGTGGTGACAGACGGCCAATCGTATGATGACGTCAGGCTACCGGCGATTGCGGCACAGGAACAAGGTGTGTAGCAATTATTTTTTTGATTAGTTGATTAATCTCATCTATGCTTCGACTGGTAATAGCCATCTTACTTCTTGCAATCACATATTTAGCATTTTCCATAATCAACAACATCGGTACAGTTGACGGTACGGTAAGGCAGTTTATAATGTGAATGGTGTAGTAGCCAGAGCTAAAGTTTAAGTAGAATAGAATAGAACATATCTTTATTGTCATCATACAAAGTACAACAACATTTCTTTGGCAACTCTCACTGCAGTAAAAAATAGACACAAATAAATAAATAAGAGTGGTAAAAGCAGAGGTAGTAGCGATGACAGAGATAAAATTCAATGTCAATGTGCATATTTACAGTTTAAAAACGTTACATTTACAAAACTGTATAAATGTAGTGTATTTCTAACTGTGTGTTCTTAAAGAGGAAAGACAACAGCAGTTTGTGTTTAGTCCTTATTAAAATATCATATTTATCCTACCTACCAATCAGGCATTACCATGTACTCAGTGGGCGTGGCCTGGGCGCCTCTTGATGACCTCAAATCGATGTCGTCCGAGCCGAAGGACAGCCACACCTTTTTCACCCGAGAGTTCACCGGCCTGGCCGAGTTCATTCCTCTGCTGGTCCGAGGCATCTGTCGGGACTTTACAGAGAATAACTAAGAACACACACGAACACGAACACACACACACACACACACACACACACACACACACACACACACACACACACACACACACACACCACACACACACACACACACACACACACACACACACACACACACACACACACACACACACACACACACACACACACACACACACACACACACACACACACACACACACACACACACACACACACACACACACACACACACACACACACACGTTTGTACTTCTATACAAACATAAATTAACCTACCTTAAAATAAATCTGAACCTTAAACTTGCAAACGGAGGATTTTGTCCAGCTAATACCTAGCTAGCATTCATGTTATCATTTGAAGGAACACATTATCACAAAACACTAGTCAACCCAATAAACATACAAATTGCATCTATCTGACAACATTTCAGTTGTAGATTTCAGCAAAAAGAAAGCCTTTTTAGGTCCAATAACATCACAGACAGATACAGATGTTGTAGTACCACCGTTTGGCCACTACGCAGATTTGTTTCACCCAATGGGCGAGCGTTGAAGTAAAAACACCGTTAATGTCTCAAACATAAACACAGTTTATGTCTTAAACATACATTTTAGGAGTGAAAACAAGTCAAAATTCCTCAGTTTTCAAAAAGACCCCACTTTGCAGGTAAAAATATACGGTCCTCACAAGGTAGACCTACAAGAATATACACACACACTGTATATATACTGCTCACATATACTGACTATTCCTGATAAATACACATGTATATAAAATACACACAACATTGAAAAGCACACGTTTATATATCCAAAATTGTTTTATTTAATGAAGGAGATTTTGGGAAATCACCAAATCATAAAACAATCTCATCATCTGTGTAACCAAAATCATTCACCTTTCACTAAACAGTCAGGAGTTTTTGATTCTCTATAAAGATTTATTACAATAAACACAAAAAAAGGAACCACCCTTTTCCTGCATTGTTCAATTAAGGAGGCTACTTTAAATAAAATAGATAGGTTTTTTTATACTATATACAATTATGAATCTTGAATCCAAGAGCGAGTTATCTTATGTTTCAGGTGAATTTTATACATTTTAATATCTAAAAAAAGAACTTTGTTGTCAACATCAGCCAGCTTTATGAATGAGTAGTGACCAAGTGAATGATTTCAAACTTATAAATCCTCTTAATGTCTAACCAAACAGCTTTCATTACTTATAATGTTTTCTAAAAGGTGTCTGTTGATCATGATTGAGGTTTTATCAACAAGGTGCTCAGTAAACCTAGGCAATGTTGTTATTCAACAGAATATGTTAAGCTTGCTCTTATATACCATTTCAAAACAATCTGCAAAATAAAAGTACTTGGATGTTTCTAGAAGAAAATCTCCTTGTTATCTTTCTCTCTTTGTTATATTTTTTAAGCTTCATCATTGCCTGTTTTGTAATTATCATGATGTACATTTTGCCCACATGTCAATTTCTGTATTTTGTTAAACTTGAATTAGTATTATTATTTCCCTTTTTTTTCTTTTTTTTCCAAGGACAGAGTTACAGCAAGGCTTCAGCGAAAAAACAGGCTTTTAAAAGTTCAGTTCCACAACAAGAAATCGTTTTAATTCAAACACAATATTACAAACAATAAGAAAATCGATTCACGGAAATGCAAAAATCAAATGTGTACCTACATTGAAATACAATGCTCTTTAGAATGGATTAAAAAGTTCAAATGTTCTGAATAAACTACGTCTTTTGTGTGGAGGTGTGTGGCGCAGTGGACTAGTGCGTTGGTGTTCAAACCCCACTGCAGTCAGCATGTCGTTGTGTCCCTGAGACACTTCACCCCAAATTGCTCCTGTGGGGATTGTCCACAGTGTTGAGTCTGTAAGTCGCTTTGGATAAAAGCATGTAATGTAAACCTAAAAACAGATGCATTCTGGGTTGAAATTACCTGTATGGTTTTGTGTCATCCGATTTTATTTGCCAACATGATGATTGTCAGAGGAGTTGGGCATCAAACATTACGATTAAAATAAATAAAATATGGATTGTCTGACTCTGTGTAAATGAAACTGTCTGTCATTGGGATGTGAAATGCTGATTCTGTCCTTTTTCTGTATTTATTACCTGTTTTCTCTGTGTCTTTTAATAAAAAATAGTTATTTCTACAGCTTGATGTCTGTTCAGATAATTGAAGCTCTAACTATTAGACAGGGACGCAGCGCCACCTAGTGTCCAAACTGCAGATTACAAAAACAAATGGAGACCTGAAAGCAAACATCGATGCAGTCAGAGGATAAAACTCCACGTTTCCTGCTTGTTGGTTCTTATTTTGTCTAAATATATATCAAGTCAAATGTCAATTAACAAGCTTTTATAGTAAAAACTACGAGATGATATTATATATGACAACCTTTCATCTGTCATATATTTTGTAAGTGGAAGTTTGTTATAAAAAGAAACACATTCAGGATCTCATCATTTCGATGTATAGAGTTTAGATTTAGATGTATTATTTCTTAATTTTGAGTATTGTTATCATTTATAACCTTGCTTTTTTGTTTTCCTGGTTATAGTGGGGTGAAGTGTTGCTCTTAATGAAAACGGAGACTATTGTATTGAACGTTACACGTTTAGACTGTGCTGTTTACTTACCAACAGATAATAAATAATTAATTCACAGCACATTTATCCGAGTTTTTATCAAGCCGGTAGTTCTTTATTTTAGGAAAGCAACATGTATTAATGTTTATTTAGCCAAATATCAAGGATGTCTTAATACAATATTTTTTGTCAATTTAAAGGTGGGGTAGGTAAGTTTGAGAAACCGGCTCGAGATACACTTTTTGTTATATTCCATGGAATGCTCTTAACATCCCGATAGCAATGAATATCTTAAGTCCTTTGACAACAAATCCATAAAAACATCATCAGTGGAAGCCGTGGCGCTGTAAAAAGCTCGACCAATCATCTGAGCCGGCCCGGCTAAAGTAACTGGATGGCCTACCTGCCTGTCAGCCTTCCATCTGTGCACAAACTCATCTCGTGCCCTCATTGGTCATGAGCGCGTTCGTGTGTGTTGGAGGAGGGGCTCTGTGAGGAAGTGGGAGATTTGTTCCGGCTGTGTATTTTCAAATTCTAGCGCACTCGAGCTGGTTTCTCCAAAATGACCTACCCCACCTTTAAAGGCAGTTTATAATGTGAATGGTGTATTGTCAAGCCTGATCCAGCAGGGGGCGCTACAGGACACAGAGACATGATGATGAGCTCGGAATGACCTGCAGCTACTTCAGTCTATGAGCTAACTTTGTGTAAGAATGAAAACCACTTTAAAGCGAAACACAGATTTCCTGATTACACAAATCCACTACAATTATTTGAATGCCACTTTCTGATTGGTTGCCATTCTCAAATGGTTTGTAAACTGTAGCAGATGGCTTTATACATGAGAAATACAAAATACAAAACTTTATTAATCTCTAGGGATGTTGCTCAATCACTGATGTTTTATAAGCAATTATACATTCTTATTAAGTAATAAGCAAAACATAATAACTTATCACTTGAAGTGTTGAGACCCTTTGGTTGAGACTGTTACAATTCACAACACAATCGATGAGTTTTTTATAATCAAATATGTACAAATATCTATAAAGCATCAGTACTTCGGTATTTTTTTTAATTAGTTACTGCATATTATTCAAGTATATAAAAACAAAAGCAAGTGTTCATTGAACTATATCCATTATCTAGAACAATATACAACCGGTGTATATTCAGGAAACAAAGAGAGACTGTAGAGTTCAATTGCCGTGTCTGTTTCTATTACAATAAACAAATGAGTGTGTGTGTGTGTGTGTGTGTGTGTGTGTGTGTGTGTGTGTGTATGTATGCTGCGTCACAGGGGGAAGGGCGGTGCCCCCCAGGTAGGTAGAAGCACCAGCAGCGGTCACATCACCACAAACACACACACTCCCCCCACACACACATTGACAGAGGAGGCAGTGTGTCCACATCAGCAGTGGAGACCCCAAGGTGCCAAACACACGCTCACACACACACACCCTCCGTCGCTCAGTCTGGAGGAGGAACTGAGCGAAAAGGAGCCGGAAAAACAGCCGGAAAATTGGGAAATATCGAAACAAGGAAGTTGGATTGGTGAGAAAAGTGATTCCGCAGCATGTTCAGCTGGGTGAAGCAGGAGCAAGGTGGACGCAACAAGGACGGAGAGATGTACCAGACAGTGACCGAGGGTCTGCAGAGCCTCTACCTGAAGAAGCTGCTTCCTCTGGAGGAGACTTACCTCTTCCATGACTTCCACTCCCCGGCTCTGGAGGCCGCCGACTTCCAGAGCAAACCCATGGTGCTTCTGGTGGGCCAGTACTCCACCGGGAAAACCACCTTCATCAGGTAGAACTCACCTCCACTTATGGGTTATAATATTGTTTTATCAGTTTGCCTCATGCAAAAGGTTGGCTGTGGGCCAGAGAGTTTAACGGCATGTGTCAACACCACCTTTATCAGGTGTGTTCAGGAAACACCCCCAAAACGGTCGTTGGTGAAACTCAATGCCAAACCTAATGTGGAAATATGCCAATTAAAGGCTTTCTTCCTAATAAATTGGGATTTATAAGTGGCATCACATCATTTAAGATTTCAAACAAATGTAAGGTGTTTTATGGTGAATTCGGCTTACTTGTTTTAAGCTAAATCCGATTTGTTTTTCTAGGAAAAGCAACAGTTTTGTGTTGCGTATTTCAACGTTGCCCTCTCCTTCTCGGTGCATTCTGGTAAAGGCGGCAATGAAAGCAACATAAACAGTTGATATATCATTAAAATATGTAATATTAGGTTAATCACATTAATGCCGAAGTGGATACTGTAACTTTAAAGGGTAGAATATGTCTTCAATATCTTTCTACATTGTCTACATTTCTGCAAAAATAGCAATAGTCCTAAATAGGATACTTTTCCAATGGAGGTCGGCTTGATTCATCCATTTGA